GAATCCATTGGAGTAGAAACCGGTTTAACACCCAGCATTCCATGCTCGTAAGCGCATCATGGACATATTTCTTTTGACACAAGGAGATTCCTTTCGAAGATCTTGTAACTTCAATGCTAAAGAAAAATTTTAGTTATCCCAAGTCTTTCATCTTAAATTGAGAATGTAAGTACTTCTTAAACTCTTCAATAGTTTCAGTAGAATTATGTACTATTACTATATCATCAACATGAACAAGTAAAGCAAGAAAAATATTAGAAGATATTCTTTTGATAAATAAAGAATAATCTGTTTTAAACTATTAAAATCTAAAAGCCAATAAAGCGGTAGTAAGCTTATTATTTCATTGTCTTGATGCTCGCTTCAAACCATACAAGGACTTGTAAAGATTGCAAAGTAGCTTAATATATATAGGATACTTCACCTGGACTTGATAACTAGGAAAAATATCCATGTAAACTGTCTCTTCTAAATCATTATTAAGAAACATATTGTTTACATCCATTTAGGAAAAACAATAAACTTGAGTTGCTTCAAGAGCCAAAAATAAGTGAATTATAGTTTGTTTAACCACATGACTAAAAGTTTTTTAAAAGTCACGACCCTTTTGTTGACTATAGCCTTTTGTTACCAATCCGGCTTTATATCTTTCAATTGAGTCATTAACATGAAGTTTAATTTTGTTAACCCATTTACAACCTACCGAATGTTAACCAGGAGGAAGAGAAACCACAATCCAAGTATGATTGTGCTCAAATGTAATAAGTTCTGGTCTTTTAGCATATTGTTAGTGAACAAAATATACAAACTTGGTCATATGTATGAGGTTTAACAAAGTGGAAAAAAGAAGCAATAAAAGAAGTATGTGAGGGTGACAAAAAAGAAGTAAAGATAATTTTTTCAATAACATGTAGATGCATTAGTAGAAGGCAAACTTGTTGGACAATTAACCATGTAACTTGGAAGTTTGCTAATATGACTATTTTTCCTAACAAGAATAGGAAAAATAAAAGGATTTAATAAAGGAATGTCTAAAGAAGAGTTTGTGGAAGTTTATTTTGTATCTAAAATAGAAAAATAGTAATAAAGATGTATGGCTACATGAGTGATATCATATGTTTCAACAATTGAACTAGAATTCCAAATGATAAATGAGAAATGACATTACAAATAGCATAGAAAGTATCGTTAGAAATGATATTAGGAACATAATGTAAAGCATTAAAATGAGAAAAAAAAAAGGAAAACCATTTGCATGGAACATAACATCTCTCGAAAACAAATACAATTTTAGAATTCATATCATAAAGCTTGTATGCTTTCATTCCAACAGGATAAGCAATAAATATACACCATCTAGCTTAAGAGTCAAATTTCTTTCTATTATGATAAAGAGTAGAAGCAAAGCAAAGAAAACCAAAAACTCTCAAGTAAAGATAAGAAGGTGGCTTATAAAATAACAATTCGTAAGGAATTTTATTATGTAGAATAGGAGTTGGAATCCTATTTATCAAGTATACTACTGTTAAAACTACATCTTCTTAAAAATGAATTGGTAAACAAGACTAGAGTAACAAAGCTCTAGCAACGACAAGAAGATGTTGATGTTTCCTCTCAATAACACCATTTTATGGAGGTGTTCTTACACATGAGAATTGATGTACTATACCTTTGGTGGAAAAGAAATAAGTGAGATTGAATTCTAAACCATTATTTGATCTTATTTGTTTAATGAAAAAACCAAACCGATTTTAAATAAGATTGAAGAAGCTAAAAATTATAGATATAACATCCGATTTTGATTTCAATAGAAATAACCATGTCATTCTTGTGAAATGAAATCATCATCTATAGTGAGAAAATAATGATATTTTCCATGAGTTGGTTGTGGATATGGTCCCCATAAATTAACATTAATAAGTTAAAAAGGGCTAGTAGTGTTTGAGGAATGAATAGGAATAGAATTTTTTTTTGTGTTTGGCCATTGGACATATAATACAAGGATTTTTATTAAAATTTACATCACCGTGTACATCAAAATAAATTTGATGAATAACATTTATCTTACCAAAGATATATTTCCTAATCTAAAATGACAAAGATCAAAACAATCTTTGACATGAAGAATAGAACCGGTGTTGACGGTAGGAACAAAAGAAGATTTAGACTTGTTATTATGAAAACTAAAAGGAACTCGAAGACTTAGTAGGTATTGAATCTTTCACTAAGTAAAGACCACTTCTAACCTTGTCAAATCTAATAATTGTCCATGAAGAAATTGCTCGAATTAAACAAGAATCACCATGAAAGTCAATAACAATTTAACTAGAGAAAGTAAGTTTACCGACATATATTATATTGACTTTGAAGGAAGGAATGTAAAGAACATTATGTAAGACTAGTTTAAAAGACAAATGTATTATTCTAGAATGTGTAGTAGACACCTTGGAACCATTTGACATTAACACCAAGACATGTTCAATGGATTGATAAGCACTAAAAGAATTCAAGTAACATATGATATGATTTAAAGCTTCGTGTTAATGATCTAAGATTTATTATCCAAAGGAAATATTAGATGTTTAGTGAACTCGTGCAACAATAATGTAAAAACCAAATATGATTTTGTATGTCAAAAGAATTTATACCTGTCATGCTAGATAAAGCAGGAAGAAGGTTCAATTGATGCATCTTATTCATTGAGAAGAGTCATTAATTGTGGAATTTGATGTTGAGTCAATGACACTTGTGATAGTGATTTTGTGGCATATTGATTAAGGATACATCACTACTTGTAGTAGCATGGTTAGCGTTCATAGCCAACCTTCCATCCGATTGTGTTGTCACAAAATTAACAACTAGTTAATTATCGTTATTCCTTATAAGTTTATTTGGAAATCCAATCAATCAAAAAACAACGTTCTTTAGTATGAATAACCTAGCCATAATGAATGCAAACAAAGGTATTTTTAGGCTTATAACAAAAATTAGCTCTCATTGCCATCGTTGAAGATTCTAAAAAAGGTTGGAATAACATTGTATGGTTTTTTGTGACTCCTCTCTAACCATTAGATTGTACACTTTATCAAGAGAAAGAAAAAGGCTTCATCATAAGCACATGAGACCTCAATCCAACATAAGAATCATTGAAGCGATTCGGAAAATGAAACCTATAATCCTTTTAAGCATTTTGAGCTACACTTTCCACACTCACAAGTGAGGTAAGGGCCTAAAACTCTTTAATTCCTCCCAAATAGAATTTAATTCAGTGAAATACTCATCAACATTTTGACTACCTTAGTTAATGACACACAAATCATGTTACAAATTGCAAAGTTTAGAGTCATATACCCGAGAAAAACGCTTCTTAAGTACCTTCCAAATTTATGCACCCGAATCTATGTAGAAGACAATTGTAGCATTTGGAGAAGAGATTGAACAAAAAAGCTAAGAAACAATGAGGTTATTGCATCGCAAACATGGACCAAACATTACATTGTTCGTAGCTAGTGTCGCAATTGTTCCATCAACAAAACCGGTGAGGCTCCGGGATGCATAATTGCTTGAAGTTAGCTTAGGAGAAACAAAAACAATTGTGTGATTGTTTGTGTGATAAAGATGAAACGGAAATTGTGGATTTTATTGAAAGATCGAAGCAGAATCCACCATTGATGAACTTAAAGAAGAAGAACTTTTGAGAAGAAAAAGAAATGAAACCTAATTGTTAGGCTTTGATTTCATGTTTGATTGTGAGAGAGAAAACATATCTACTTCTCATTCATCAAAACGAAATTACACACATGCATTTACAATTTGTTTCTCACCTATTATACTAGTGAAGAGAAGCAAAATTAAAATTCTCAACTAACTACCGGTACTCCTAACTTAGTTAACTAATAGAGCTAACAACCTTTTTAACTAACTAAATCAACTAATTAACTAAATAAATAATTAGTTACACACAAAACATGTGAGGCATACATGTGGCATACATGTAAGCGGGAGAAGCTACGTAGGCAAAAGGATAACTTGCTTCTAATAAACCTTTTTCTTAATTTCTTTCTTCTAAAAATTTACATGATTTGCATATCTAAACCTTTCATTTGTCTTGTTTATAAAGATATTTTGAAATTAAAAGAATAATCATGTGCAAATCATATGATTAATTGTAATAGTTTTGCCTGAAATTTTTTATGAAAAATGCAAATTTAAAACTTAACATATATTTAAAAATAAATTTCACTTATATATATATATATATATATATATTCAAAACTAATGACCGACCTACGTAACAAGAAAAAAGATGGTCTCATTTTTTTCTTTTTTGCACAAAATTCTTCGTACCTTGGGTCCGTTCATGATATTATGACTCCCATTATCAAGAACAAAATTTAATTTTAACAAGAAGATATATATATATATATATATATATATATATATATATATATATATATATATATATATATATATCACAATTAAAAAAACAAATGACACAAGAACTTCCAAAAGCAAACAATAAAAAGAAACAGTCACTCGAAAGACACTGGGGAAAAAAACCAAAGGAGAAATGCAATCCAAGCAAGCTAGCGGATGAGCAAATTATAAATTATTTTCTCTAAAAAAAAAAAGAATTAATTAGTTTTTTGTTTAAAAAATAATTATTTAATTTTTAATTTTTAAATTTTTTGTAGTTTAATTTTTTTTTTGGCTCATTTTTATTTTTTTCTTTAATAAATAGAAAAAAAGAAAATAGATAAAAATTAATGAAAAAAATGACTTTTTCTTATATAAAATAATATTAAATTAAGCTTAATCCCTTCTGTTAAAAATTTAATTAATTATTTTTTGAAAAATATAAGTACAAATAGCCAAATAGGAACTGATTTATAATTTACTGGCTAACGTATTGATCCAAGATAACCTTAGAAGAGAGCTCACGCTTGTATCTTAATTCTTAACAAAGCGGTAGGACAAGCAGGAAAAAAAGGAAAAAAAGAATGGCAGTCCCACCCACAAATCTTCCCCCTCTTCCTCTCAAATCTTCTCGCACTCTCTCTTACCTTCCTAACCTCTCCATTTGCTCTGCTCCATTCAACAACAATAACAGCAGCCTCAAAACAAGTAGTAGCTCCAGCACGACGATCCTTACTATCAATGGCCCAAAAAGATACAGACCCATGTCGGTCCGAGCAAACACGGATTCCCCTTCTTCTTCTTCTTCGTTTGGCTCCAGGCTCGAAGACAGCGTCAAGAAGACTGTAGCTGACAACCCAGTTGTAGTTTACTCCAAAACCTGGTGTTCGTGAGTTCTACATCTCTTACCATTTTTTTTTCCATTTTAATTCAAAGTTTGAGTTTGAATGGTTTCTTCTCTTCTATATAATTCAAGGTATTCTTCTGAGGTTAAATCTGTGTTTAAGAGGCTAAATGTGGATCCAGTTGTTGTTGAATTGGACGAATTGGGTATGTCTGCTTCATTTCCCTTGCTTTCTTTTGTATTTTCTTTTAATTGATTGCTTGATTATTAGGTGCTGCACGTGATTGGATATGAACAATGATGATTTAGGCTATTTTAAAATACTTTCAATTAATCTGAATTGTTAGAACTATTAACAATAGCCAATAATGCTTTTTTTTTTTTTTTTTTTGGCATTTCTATTAAATGTTGTTAGGTTCTTAGACTGATAAAAAAGATTTGTTTTTCTTGTTTATTTTTTTTGAATTTTTTCAGGCCCTCAAGGACCCCAGGTACAGAAAGTATTAGAAAGGCTTACTGGCCAACACACCGTACCAAATGTGTTTATTGGTTAGTGGTGCTTTACTCTTTATTCTTTAACTAAGTGGTACTAGACCTCTTTCATTTATCCGTAGTTTTCAGTGAACTAGGATGTAGGATGTTGTTTGTCTCTATACTTATTTGTTAGGATGATTGAAGTGAAAGTTTATGTTGATGCATATTGATGTGTGCAAAAGGTGTAGAAATTCTTTCCGACGTGGTTAATGAAATTGATGAGAGCAAGATCATTTTCTAGTCTAGTGTGTGTGGAAGTATGCTTTAATTTATTTCCACTGGAATATGTTCTTTTTTCATGCTGATGCATGTAACTTGTTGTAACATATTATTATTAATCGAAATAGAAATGTTTCTTGTCAAATATGGGTCTGCGTTGCTCCAATGAGATTGGTAATTGCAAGGCTTCATTCATGTCTTGCTGCTTTATTCGATGACTGTTCTTTATGTTGGAACCCCTGTAGCTTGTTGCTGTACTTGTCGACCAAACATTAGAGCATATGTGGTGATACCTTCTTAGTCACTGTCTAATTTGAATATTCAAACTTGAAAATTTTGATTTATAAGAAAACAATTCACTGTGCCTTTTGGGCAGTTGAGGGGCTTATGGAAATAAGATGCTAGGAGACAAGTTTTGGTTAGCAGTGTGTAAGTCTTAGCAGTTGTGCAAAGTGAATAAATTCATAAGTGAATGTGAATTCTGAATCACCTGTCCAGAAAACATGACTGGAAAATAGAACTTATTTTTTATCAGTAGAAAATGAAAATGAATCAGAATTTCATGTGTTTCTTGTTGATTATGGTATTATAAAATATTCTTGTAGTTGCATTACTATTTCAAATTATACATTATCGGTTAAGGTTCTATTTGCATATAGAGTCAGTCGATCTATACCTTTCTGCTGTGAAAGTTTCCTATATGTTATTGTCCCAAAGAAACATGGGATTACTCCTTTGTCTTTTTTTTTTTCTTTTTCCCCTGTCTAACTCTGAAAAATTTATCCATTCCTTTTTTTTGTTGGCCCTATTTTTTGTCTTTTTATTTGAATTTTCATTGCTATTAAATGCTCACATTTCTGTTCTTCTACATGATCAGGGGGCAAACATATTGGTGGCTGCACAGGTATATTATTTGCAGTTGTCTTTGGAATTATCTTGCTCGATTATTTTACCATGATTGTGTATTATGGATACCAGTGATTCATAAGATAGTTCCTGAGTGACAAAAACAATCGTTTCTTTGTAGGTTCTTAAAAATCTCTTAACCAACTGTGTATTGCTGAATACCATCTGTTTACAAGCTTCCCAAGATTTTGATTTCATATACTTGATATTTCTGTTATTGATGCAGCCACTTATTTTCCATATTATTCACCTTCAATTGTAGATGTGTAATAAATTTTGGAGAAATTTGAATGAAAAGTCCCTTTGAAGTAGGCATTGATACTGTCTTTCAGGTTTGCTCAGTGGTGATGCAATGGGAAAGGCAAGCCCTTAAGTTTTGATGCTAATGATTGCTTTATGTCCTTGTGCAGATACTGTGAAACTATATCGGAAAGGTGAACTTGAACCACTGTTATCAGAAGCTAATGCTAAGGACTGACATGGGTAGCCTTGTCATTTTGTCAATGAAGAATTCAATTCCCTATCAAAACCTTGGATTGTTTTGGAAGATACGCCACATTTCTGCTTCTTAGTGACAGTATTTTTAACTTCATTGACATAGATTTATCCATATATCGTTGAATTGTATACTAAACTCACAAAAGTTTATTGTTACATAAAGCTTGTTTAATATTTTATCCACATCAAAACTTGTTGGTAATCTTTCATTAATTGGGTTACCCTTGCTTTTAGCCCAACTGACCACTAGCACCAACTAGGAGGACAGAATGTAAGCTACGGTATTCTGCTGGCTGTGAACATATGATACGGAAATATGGCATTAGAGAGCAGTAGCCTCAATGAACTCATGGCTTTCCATCTTAATTTGACAGTCTTATTACAGAGGATCTCAAGGAGAAGCTGTCTGGTTTCTCCAAGTCACAAGAAGTAGCGCTACCAATGAGATCATCATGCATTTAACATAGTAGAAGAGAGTTTTGGAGCTTTCAGGCTTCCATCTCTCTTTTCTCACTACTTGCATAAAATAGTTTGTCCTTGGTGTCATGGAGATCTCTACCATGGTGAATCCAAGCCAGTCCGTGCTACATCTCCAAGATCACCAAAAGCAAGATCACAAAGTAGACTATACACAAAGCATAACAGCTTATAATTGATGTTAAATAAACTTCTTTTTTATAAGCATGAGATAGATTTAAAGTATAATGTTTCTTGCGATGGATGTTGTTTTCTATTTTCATTACTTGGCTTAAAATGTCGTTTCTTATTTTATCTCAACTCTAGCATCAAAATGTGAAGAAAAAATTATTTCATATTGAAAGAATATATTTGAGAAAAGTTGGGGCTTTGATGGAAATACACAACTATTGGTCATTGTCTATGATTTTGCTAGTCCCATGAACATCCGCCTTAGGCTTTTGAAATAGGCCAACATTTCATCATAATCAGGAAGGTTCTCTTTAATAACAGCAACTTCCTTGAAATTCTGAATCCAGAGATGTAATCGAGGGAAGTTGCCAGGTTCTAGTAGTTTGACACCAGCGGCTTCCTCCATGGGTTGAAGCCAACCAGCTATCCATCCAAAGGCTATGTCAGTCAATCCAATTTTGTCACCCCCAAAAATTTCTTGTCACCAAGGCCAAGCTCTTCTATGATTCCTAGCAGTTCTTTGGATTCTTCTGTTGCCTTCTCTTGTTCTTCTCCAACAGTTTGAAAGAAGGCATAAAAAGTCGGGCTCTGTAACACACAAATATATCATTACAGACGAGTAAAGTATAAAGAAAAATGGATTTTTGATCAGTAATGATTACCTTGTCCTCTCCAAACTTGGTCCAGAATCTAGCCAGAGCTCTCTCATAAGGATCCTCTGGAAGCAAGGGATTCTGTGGCCATGTTTCTTCTATGTACTCAAGAATCACAACGGACTCTGCTATTGGCTTTCCCTCGTGAACTAAAACGGGGATCTTTTTGTGAACTGGGTTATACTGTAGAAGCAACTCACTTTTGTTGGAGAGATTCTCTGCTACAGATTCATAATTTACTCCCTTGAGATTCAGAGCCCAAATAATTCTGTAACTGAATGGACTAGGCCAAGCTCCTAGTAGCTTCACTTCTTCCATATTTTTGCTGGGGTCTTGCTGTCCCCAGCTCAGTTTATAGTGGTCGACTAGGATGATTTTGCTTGGGATTTACGTTTCTTGATGCAAAGATTTATCAAGTTCCCCTGGTAGGCCATATTCTTCACTAACAACTCCATTTGGCTTGACCAAATTATAAAAATTATCCTTTAGTCGCCAAGAAATGTTTGATGTTGACTGTTGACCCTTCATCAATTATTTTCTTATCGTTCATTACCAGAAGATAGATTTTTTTGTTTTTAACCATCAGATAGCAAGTAGAAAGGTGGAGAATATGTCCTTATAATAATACAGAAAAATTAAAAACAAGCAAGGAGACTAATAAGAAGAAAGAAACGCGCAACAAAATGATGAAGTGCAGGGGATGATCTTCAAGCTGTCTTTGAAGCAGTAAACATTTCCAGTTTCTGCTTGTAATAAGCCAACATCTCATTGTGATCAGGAAGGTTATCCTTGATCACAGGATGATCCTTGAAATTCTGAGTCCAAGTGTGCAAGCGTGGGAGCACATCTGCATCCAATACTTTTACACCAACTGTTTCTTCAATGACTCCAAGCCAGCCAGCAAGCCATCCAAAGGCCAAGTCTACCAATCCAATTTCATCGCCACCAAAGAACTTCTTGTCACCAAGGCCTTGTTCTTCTACGACTTTTAGTAGTTTCCTGGCCTCTTTTGTTGCCTTCTCTTGCTCTTCTCCAACAGCAATGAAAAATGCCATAAAAGTGGGGCTCTGCATTTCAAGACACATCCTTTTAAGTTTTTACTCAAATTGCAGAGAAACGAACAAGCAACCGTTAACTTCTCATGAATCAAGAATGTAGCAGCTGTAGAAGCTATGAATTAGCGAAGAAACCAACGAAGTAGAGTGAACGAGAGAGAGCAGAGAAGTTGAGAAACTTTGTTATGAAATTGATTCTCTCGTTCATTATCCGTATAACACGCATTTTATGTGTTTTTATAATAAGAGATTTATATAACTACTCTAACTAACAAGTTAACTAATACTATACACGTCATTCTTCTAATACTCCCCCTCAAGATGAGAATGAATGTTATTCAAGCTCATCTTGCCAAGCAAAGAATGAAAAACACCGAGTCGAAGAGCTTTTGTGAAGACATCTCGCTAGTTGTGCAAGAGTAGAAACAAACCGAGGGTGGATAATACCAACAAGCAACCTTCTCACTGATAAAATGGCAATCAACCTCAATATGCTTAGTGCGTTCATGATAGACCGGATTATGACAAATGTGTAAGGTAGATCGATTATCACACATAAGGAGAACTCAGGTGAGCGTAAGGAACCCCAAGGTCCGTCAATAAATATAAAAGCCATAAGATTTCACTAGTGACAGCAGCCTATGGCCCTATATTCAGCTTCGATGCTATCGCGAGCAACAAGTGGTTGTTTATTAGATTTCCAGCTAATGAGAGATTGCCCTAAGAAAACATAAAAACCGGACACGGAGCGTCTTGTTTCGAGGCAACCAGCCCAATCACTATCAAAATAAGCCTCAGTAATCGAAGGGTGGAATTAGAGGAAAACAATAAGCCTTGTCCCAGTGCATTCTTTAAAAACCGAAGAACCCTATGAGCAACTTGAAGATGCATCAAGGCAGGTTTGTCCATAAATTGGGCTAAAACTTGGACCGTGTATGCAATATCGAGTCTCGCTAAAAGTCAAATAAAGGAGCTTTCCGACCAGCTTGTCTATACTCGATAAGATCGGAAGAAGATCAACCGATGTGTGGGTAAGCTTCGTTTGGGATTGCATAGGAGTGGAAATAGGTTTAGCAACTGAAAAACCATAATCCTCAAGTAAATCCAACACATATTTCCTTTGACAAATAAGCAATGCCAAGCTTAGACCGAGCTACCTCTATCCCTAGGAAATATTTAAGATTTCCCAAGTCCTTAAGCTTAAACTTGGAGCTCAAAAATTGCTTAAGAACAACTTACATCGAAGGAGAGTTACCGGTAATGACAATGTCATCCACATAAACCAAAAGGGCAAGAAAGTGTTGTGATGAACAATGCTTGGTGAAAAACAAATAATCTACCTTAGATTGTTTAAAACCAAACTCAAGTAAAGCAACAAGAAACTTGGCATTCCACCGTCGAGATGCCCGTTTGAGTCCATCTAATGACTTATGTAATCGATAAACCAGATTAGGAGAAGTACTCGCGAACTCCCCTCGAGCCGATAACCGAGAGGAATATCCATGAAGACTATCTCGGTAAGGTCACCATGCAAGAAAGCATTGTTGATGTCCAATTGAGAAAGACTCCGACTTCGAATAGCGACCAAAGCTAAGAATAACTCGACCGTGGTGTGTTTAGCAACAGAATCGAACGTTTCTTGATAATCAAAGCCTTCAATCCGACCGTATCCCTTTGCTACAAGTCCAGCCTTATAACGTTCAACACCGCCATCCGCCTTAAGCTTCACCTTGTAAACCCACTTGCAGCCTACAGTGTGATGCCCATGAGAGAGGGGAACAATGGACCAAGTGTGGTTCTCCTCGAGAGCGGTTAACTCGCATTTCATGGCATCTTTCCAAGTGTTCAAACTTCACAACTTGTAAGTAAGTTTTAGGTTCAAAACGAGAGGACAATGATGTAGTGAATGCAGCATAAGATGGGGACAATTGGGAAGTAGAAATGTACTTGTGAATGGGATATGGTGTGGAATGAACAATAGAGCTATTGGACATGATAGAGTGAGGAAGAGAGTGTTGGTATGCTTTTAAATACTTTGGAGGTTTACTAACTCTAGAAGATTTTTGGGAAATAGGAGGGAGAGATGGAATGGAAGAGGAAACATGCATGTCATCGGTAGAGACAGTAGTATCTGCAGTAGATAAAGGAGAATCAATATTGTCAGTCGTATGCTCATCATTCACAAGTAGGACCAAAGCTCTTTATGGTAGAAGGAGAAATGACAAGCAGGGTGTGTATCAAGTGTATTTGGAGAAACAACATGATGAGAAGGTTGAATCCGACTAAAATCAAATAGGTTTGAAGTAAAAGATCCATGGTAAGGAGAATTATCGAAGAGGAAGGCATAAAGGATGAAAAAGGAAATACAAACTCATGAAAAACCACATCTCCGGAGACCGAGACTTTATGTGATCGAAGGTCATACACTTTATAGCCTTTAATACCAGGAGGATAACCCAAGAAAATACAAGGTGTAGCTCTAGGTTGGAACTTTTTTCTCGTTATGAGTAGGAGTAGACACAAAACATAGGGAACCAAATACTCTAAGATGAGTATAGTGAGGTGCTTTCTGAAACAAGTAGTTCATATGGGGATAGATGATTTAACGGAGGAGAAGGAATACGATTAATAATGTAGGTAGCAGTAAGGATAGCATCTCCCCAAAATTTTAATGGCAAGGATGCTTGGAAAAGAAGGGCTCTAGCTATGGATAACGGATGTTGATGTTTTCTTTCAACAACAAGCATTCTGCTGTGGTGTTCCTACACAAGACAACCGATGGATGATCCCTTTGGAAGCATAAAAGCTCGGGAAGATGAAATTCGGGTCCATTATCATACCTAAGTTGTTTTATTTTGTGATTGAATTGGGTATGAATGAGCTGATAGAAAGAAGGAATGAGAGACAAAACATCGGACTTGTGTTTTAACAAAAACACCCATGTCATTCGTGTGTAGTCATCAACAATAGTAAGAAAGTAGTGAAAACCATTAACGAGAGGCTACGAAGTATGGCCCCCGGATGTCCATGTGGATCAATTCAAAAGGAAAAGTTGTGGTTTTATTATGAATGGGAAAAGGCAATCGTTTCGTTTTGTCGGAGGACGGACAAGACAAGGCAAGTTTGCATTACAAGTCACAGTAGAATGATTCTTATGAATCATGTTTATTCTATCAACCGAAGTATGGCCTAGTCTACAATGCCAAATATCAGATATTACATGACCGAAACACCATGATCAATATGTTGGGAATTATCATACCGACCAATACAAGACCTTTGAATGGATGAGACTTGACTAGCTTGGACAGATCGAAGGATGAACGTACTCGATCGAAGGTTAGCAATTCCAATCATTGTCCATGAAGAGTCGTCCCGAATCATACATTTGTTATCGGAGAAAATTAGTCTATACCTGTGAATGAATGGTGAGCTTACCGACGGATATTAGATTGAACTTGAATGAAGGAACACAAAAAAACATTATGGAGAACAAACGAGGATGACAAATAAACTTGGCCAATGTGGGTAACGATAGATTGTGGTGCCATTCGGCATTTGAACAAGTTATACCGTAGATAGGTTTATAGTTTTGAAAATATACAAGTGAGCATGAGATATGATCGGTGGCCCCGTATCTAATATCCAGTGTCCGTGAATTGAAAATTAGAAGGATATTGTTTGATTGGCAACAAACAAGTTAGGTAAGGCTCGAATCATTACCCGTGAGGCTAGATATAGGTTGGAAGTTAGTGTTTGTATGCCGAGGAACCGTAGTCCGTGAGTCTTGAACACTCAAAAGTGTCATTAGCCTCGGAAATTTACTCTTGAGTGAGAGACACCGTGGACAAGCTTGATTGAGGATTTTGGGCGTAACCTTGGGTATCTCCTTCTATATGTGATGCCACACCATTGATATATACGAAAGCTGGACCTTTATTGATATATCTAGAACGATAGTTCCTATTCCCCCTGCAGTGCACATTTCCACCATTTTCATATCCAACCGATGAAGATTTCGTTCGGTAAACTTGAAGTTCTCTCGGAAAACCAATGAGCTTATAATAGCTATCCTTACCGTGGCCAAGTTTGCCACAATAAGAACAAGTAACTTGCATTGCTTTCTTGTTCCCACATACACAACCATAGCAGAATGCTCACTCAAAGGTTGAGTGAGAGCATGCATGTTCCTCTCGTGATTCTTCTCTCAATGCTAAATTATATATCTCGTCTAGACTTGGTATGGGCTTAATGACAAGAACCCGAGATTTCAAAGAAGCAAATGACTTATTTAATCCATTCAAAAACTTAAAGACATAATCTTTCTCCCGTATATCAACAAACTTTTGGAAGCAATCACCGTTGCAACTTCCACATGAGCAATGTGGCAATGGCTCGAAACTTCTCAACTCCTCCCATATGCCATTCAATTCCGTGAAATAAGTAGTCACGAGTCCGGTTCCCCGACCGATCGAACAAAGCGACCACCGAAGATTACAAATTCGAGATTCATCTGGTTGTGAAAACCTTTTCTTCGCAGTTCCCCAAATTTGTTGAGCCGAGTTCATATAAAACACAAGTTGCAAGCAATTGAAGGCGATAATGATCTAAGCGACCATGCCACAATCAAGCTATTACACCGATTCCAAGAACAAAATAGCCGATCTTCATCTTTAGGTTTGGGAATAGAACCATCCACAAACCCTAACTAGTTACGAATTGACGAAGCTAGGGCAAATGATCTACTCCGTGTCGGGTAATTCTCCGTAGTTAACAAAGGAGTAACCACTAAAGATCCATGGTGATCCGAGTGATGAATGTAGTAAGGAGAACAAGAATCGTCCTTAGATGAGGTGATTTCAACAAGTAGGAAATCGAGGAATTTGAGATGCTTCTTCCATGGAAACCGATCAATAAGAGATGAAGAAGCAAACGAAGATTGATGTTAAGAGAACACAAGATTGAACCTCGGTTTATGCGAGCTCGATACCATATTAACTTCTCATGAATCAAGAATGTAGCAACTGCGA